CAGCTCTGCAGCTAAGCAGGCCCGTTTTCAGAAGTGAGTGAGGCATGATATCATATTCACTGTGCTGTTCAGTTACATCACAGTCCTGACTAAAAGGCAAGCATGTCCCCAGTGCTGGGGACTTTCTGATGCATCCCTTCTGTCTCAAAGAACTGAAAGCCCTTATATTATTCAAATGCCTTGGGAGGGGTAACTAAATATATAAATATATAAATATATCAAACAATTCCATATGACATTTTTCCTAGAAGTAATAAATGATATTCTACTTGGATAGTTACTGCATTTACTACAATAGCAGATAAAATTGACTTTGCCGGCTCAGCTGAGCAATAATACTAAACTCATACAAACAGCTAATTTATTAAATACTTCATATATGTCAGTCACTGTTCTAAGGCCTTTGCAGTCATGGATCCATTTAATTTTCACAGCAGAACTTTGAGTTGTGTGCAACCGTGATTCCACTAGTTTTGAGTCTAAATGCACGTCTATTTTAATTCCTCGGTAAGACCAAATCTTCCCTGCTCCAAAACCTATGTCAACAATTCTCGCACGTTCATGTCCAAACAGTCTTCATCCCCAGCAAGACACACACAGATAACACGCTGTCTGTGCAGCCATATGAGTTCGATAAATGCATCCCGACTAATATGTTCGTTTTTAATGCTGTTCAAACATTCACATGGAAACAGCTCTAGCGTAAATATCCCCGAACAAATGGCTGTATATTATCCAGGAGGGAGCAGTTGGGCCGCCAGACTGGGGAAGTAGTAGGCCATCTGGCTCCGGCAAGCTCTCCAAAACCATCAGCTTTGTTTTCACCCCCAGACTCCAAACAACACATTTTCCACTGTGATGAGTTTACATTTTCCCAAACACAGGTCCTGATCATGCATAAAAATTCCAAACTTCTTCATTCCTCTATGTGCAAGGAAATTTAAATCACCTGCGTTTCTGACATGTTACCAAAGGAGACAGAAAGCTGTTGAAATATAGCCCCTAACATAAACCTGCTCTGTCCTTTCTTGTTTGTTTCTCTGGATATATGAAAGAGCCTCTTTGCTGGCCTGGTTAATTCCTGAGGAACTTATAGATATGCCAAAATTTTAAAGGGGGGAAAAAAGAGGTGTTTGTCTACCAATGGACTGAGAGAGTAGTTAATCAAACCTGCGTAGCCATGGGACACTACAATGAAACAATCAATGGAAGGAATATAAAGTTGAATCAACAGCTTTAAGTGCTGGAAACATCCAAACAAATATATAAAGAAATCTCGCTAGCAAACACCTCATTCACTGTACCTGCACTCCCTCTGTGTCCACCCTGATCTACAGCTCCCTCTCCACACAGCTCATCTTTAAACCTATCCATACAAACATTATGTGACTTCTGTTTGCCTTTCTCCAAAATAAATAAATAAAACAAGGCGGGGGGGGGGGACCTTTACTTTGAGAGCAGGGAACACGAGACTGGGTTTCCTTTCTTCATTAAATATCACTTGAAAACTCACTCTTTGCGTGAACTGGTAGAAGAAATGAGCTAATTTTGTGTTTATTAACTACTTAAGGATAAATAACTCACTGAAGAAACCACAGAACACAGTCATATCTCAAATGACACATGAAAATCCGAAGTGAGGCAGGTTAAGCCTCAGGCCACCCCAACTGGGCCCAAGAGAGCTTCTACAGTTGACACTGTTTGTGGGTGCATTCGCCATAAACTTCTGGATCCTAAGGGCTTTTGCATGCTCACTAATAGAATACCAAAAACAGCAGTGACACAAAAACAATCTATTTTTAGGCCAGCTAAACTTGGTTTTGAACAACCCTTCCCAAAAGCAAGCCATTTCTTTTCTAGTTAAACAGGTTTTGGGGTTTTTTTGTTGTTGTTTTGTTCTCAAGTTCTGTATGTTATACCCTATGTTTTACAAAGCAGGCATAAAGAGAAGGGACCTCAGGGCCTTGCACATTCATTCCTAACGAGGTTCCATCATTCCTGGTAGAGTTCAAAATTAGGAATCATTCCTCAAAATAGTCTAGTGAGACACTTTAGGAAGGTGTGAAACACTGTGTCATACTCATACATCTTGGTTGATTGAGTACATTTCTGTCTCAGTGTCGCTGCTGTGTGCACTCAAAATGAGGAACAACCTATGCAACTGAAGCACGTACAGCTACTTCTGCGCGTCACTGGCTGACGATCCCATCCGAAGGTTAACCCCAGTGTGTGAGTCAAGGATATGACATCACACGCACACAGGCAAAGCGCTCATATTAAAAGGGGTAGGGTCACCCAACGACGGGGGG